ATGACACTGGATCATAATCATTCTTTGTTCAGAGTTCCTTATTGTTGGCTGGACAATGCAAGGAGGCTTTGATTGCTAAATGGAAATTGTACATTAGAAACCACGCTTGCCAGGGTCCCTTTGGTATTAGTGCTTCATAAACAGGTAGTGACTATGTCAAGGACTGAGGTCTCCTGTTCAGACTCTGAAATCCTCCCTCTTCCACTGGCCTAGGGGGCTCCAGCTTATAAGGACCTGGCTCCTGAGGAATGCCATTCCTTCTGGTTATCAATTGTTCCATCTGCTACTGAGAGGAATGCAAAAATGAACTTGTGATAGCCACTAATCTGGTAACAGGAGATACCTTTGGGAATAGGGATACTGGCAATTCCATCTAGTTGGCTGAGATCCAGACTGTACAACTGATATGTGAAAGACCTTTGAGGAATGGTTCAAAGAGGATCTTCATCTATACTAGTTCCATAGGTCAGGCCAAGAAGTCTAGAGCCTGGAGAGCACAGAATTGAAAAATCTTTGGAGTTAAGACCAATGGAGGAATTTTGCTGATGCTTCCCACTTCATACAATTGTTTGTGGGATATATGGACACCCATGAGAGGCATATGCTTAAAAACAACAACAACAACAAAAACAAAAATCAGATTGAAGCAGAGTAGCAGAGGTTGGAAAGTGGGTCCAGTGTCAATTTGAAAATTTGAGTGGTGATACCATGCTGTGCTGGGCACAGGACCATATAATTGCTCTCACCAAACAAGAAATCATATTATCTCTCCTCTCCTCACAAAATCTGATTGGCCCCAGCTTGTCAGATCTAGCTTCCTGGCCAATGGCCAATAAAAAAAGAAAAGAAAAGAAAAACAAACGAAAAACAAACAAAAAACAAAGGATCTGAGTCTTTCAGACTTGGTGGGGGACCAATATCATGTAAGTCACTGTATCTTGATGACTGACTGCCTAAATATGTTTCTGGATGAGAAGAACTGCATCTAGAGAAGCTAAGAGTTGCTAATTTTATGTCATTGTTGCATATCCTTGCTATGTGTGAGAAAGAAAACCTCCTCCTTTCTTAAATGTTCAGTGAGTCACGAGTGCCTCATTTTTTCCAACACTGAATCTGAACTAAGAGAGTGCTGGCTTTAGGGTTATGCCTACAGCATCTGCCTTCCTCTCTTTCTGTCTCTGTCCCCCCAACTCCTTGCATCTCTCCAGATAAATTTCATATAGCAGAAAACCCCATCCTCCAGTACCAATCCCCCAATAGTTTCACTTCTCAAGCTAGGAAGAAATAGGTCTTAAAAACTGATCCATGCTTACAAGTCAGCAAGTGCAGGTCTTGCCCAAGTAGCTATTACACTATCTCAAAACCTGGCCCTTTATCCATTATGCCAAGTTGCCTCTTGTGTTGCACTTAGTACATACCTAATAAACGATTATTTGATAGAGATTTGTATTGAGACTAACAGTTATCTCCTCCAAAGATGCCTTCTTTGCTTAAGCACACTGCTTGGCCTTTTTTTCCCCTTTATGCTCAAAGGCACTTGTGTGTAATGTTCACTCTTCTGTCTTTAACTTGTGTCCTAAAATACACATTATCTACTCTCCTGTAGCATGTTTTAAGCTCCCTCGGGTCAGGGATTATTAGTGCTATATTTAAAAAAATACTTGCTTCAGTACCTCTGAAAAATTCCACGTACACAATAAATGTTTAGCAGGAGTCAATTGAAAACAAACAAACAAATAAAGAGAGAGAGAGAGAGAGAGAGAGAGAGAGAGAGAGAGAGAGAGAGAGAGAGAGAGAGAGAGAGAGAGAGAAGAGGCATCATGACATAGAATAAAGTATGTTGAATTTGAAGTCAGATGACCTGGGTTCAAAGGAAGTTTTTGCCAGTAACTGCTCATCTTATCATGAGCAAAGTATTTTTTTTTCCTTTCTGGGCTTCACTTTTCTCATATACAGGTGAAAAAATAAGGGTATTGGGACAGATGATCTTTGAGGACCCCTCTGCCTCTAAATCTTTGATGCTAAGATAGGAAGAAGGTAGAAAAAGATGTCAGGAAGGGAATATCTCGCTATCTATTCAGATGCTTGTCTTTGATTCTCCATTTGTAAAATATGGATAGCAATGCTGGCAATAAGGTGTTAATGCAATCTGCCTGTTGAAATTGCTTTATATTATTTGCATTTGTATATCCTTTGTACTTATTTATATATACACAGGTGTCATTCCCCTTCTCAAGTGAAATTGTATATCCTTGAGGGAAGGCCTTTTTGCTGTTGCTGCTGTTTTCTTTATATTCCTGACAGCTGACACTGTGTCATACATAGAGTAGATAATATTATTTTTTAAAAGTTGAAATGTTTTATAAAATAAAAGTATTCTATAGATGAAGTACACAATTACTAATTAAATTTCTCAATACTACTTATTAGAGGATACAGAGCCAAGATGGCAGAATACAGGTAGCAATCTAGCTAAATTCTCCTTACATTCCCCTCCAAACAACTTTAAAATGCCAACTCAAATCAAATTTTGGAGTGGCAGAGCCAACAAACAATTCTAGGGTACCACCTCGTCCCTATCAGAAATAACAAATGCTGGAAGAGTTGAGGAAAAATAAGTATATTAATAAACTGTTGGTGGAGTTGCGAACTAGTCCAAACATCCTGGAGAACAGTTTGGAACTATGCCCAATATAATAAAAATGTGCATACCCTTTAACCGAGCAATACCATTTCTAGGTCTATTCCCCCCAAAATGGAGCTATATGTACAAAAAATATTTATAGCAGCTCTTTTTGTGGTGGTAAAGAATTTGAAATTGAAGGGTTACTTGTCAATTTAGGAGTAACTGAATAAGTTATGGCATGTGCTTATGATGGACTACTGTTATACTATAAGAAATGACAAGGGGTTGGTTTCCAAAAAACAAAACAAAACAAAACTAAAAAAACAACAAAAAACAAATGGGAAGACTCCCATGAAATTCACGTAAAGTGAAATGAGAACAACTGGGAGATCACTGTGCATAGTAACAACAATATTGTAATGATGATCAACTATGAAAGACATGGCTATTCTGATCAATACAATGATGCAAGACAGTTACAAAAGATTCATGATAAAGAAAATACTACCCATTTCCAGAGAGAGAACTGATGAACTCTGAGTACAAATTGAAGCATAACTTTCTCGCTTTATTTTTTTTTTGCGATATAGCTAATGTGGAAATATGTTTTTAATTATTTCACATGTTTAATTGATATTATATTGCTTATCTTTTCAATGGGTGAGGGAGGGGTGGAAAGAATGGAAAGAATTTGAGACTCAAAACTTGTGAAGAAAAGAATGTTAAAAATAAATTTTTTTAAATTCTCAACATTTTAGGAAAGATACTTTAGACAGCCACATTACATTTACTCACATGCATGAGGACCGTAATCAGGCCAATTATTATTTTGCAAACAAAGTGGTCTATGCTACTTTCTTTTTGTTTTCCTTTGGAAAAAAGAAGGAAAGCAAATTGAATCAATATTTAATTGGATTTTTATAAATATCAAAATATAATTTCATTCATATATTCACAAAATGTTGAATATATCTTAAAGTTGAGGCACTGATATGATAGCAACCTCAGGGATCTGGGACACGTAATTGCATCCAGGCAGAAACTCCCAAATGCCCTGAACAACATGAAACAGGAAACAAAAAGAAGAAAATTGGACAGGAGAGGCCAAAGGAGAGACTGGCTGAATTGATCAAACTGTGTAAGTAGGCAGGCATAAATGATCTCAATGGAAGCAAGTACTGAACTTTGTTCAGCTAACACAATTGGAGAGAGTGTATGAGAGAGACAAAGAAAGAGAATTAGGGACATAAAGAGAGTATTGGTACAGCTGTGATTGCACAATAGAGAGTCAGCCTGGTACAATGCAAATAACAATGCATTTGAAGTCAGAGAATCTGGGTTAATATCTTTGCCCGCTAATTACTACCTGTGTAATCCTGGGCCAGTCACTTAACCTTTCTAATGCTCAGCTTTTTGTTCTGTAATATGAGGGGATTTCATTACACACCCTTTAGAGTCCCTTCCCACTTTCAGCCTTATCCCATCCTATAAACTTAGTTGACTTTTATTTCTTTTCTGAACATTTATTTGGCACCACATAGCTGAGGATATGTTCGTTCTAGAACAATAGCTCACTCAGCACAACTACATATTTGCTGTGCTGAGCAGAAACTTTCTAATAATACATCTGAACACATGCGGGGATATTCATTTCTGTTTTTAAAATAATCATTGCTGAAAAGTTTCATACATCAATACACAGGACTCTTAGGGGATAAATCCTGTTGTTAATTCTACTTGCCATACACACAATGAAGATCACAGTGCACCCTTTAGCTTTTCCGTACTGTTGCTCACCCTTTGACATCTGTCTGGCTTAGAAGATAGTGTGATTTTTCCAAAATTTTCGTGATAGGCATGATTTAAATGAGTTCAAATCTCTTGAGTTTTTTATTGTTTATTTCTTTTGTTTCATTTTTTTCTGTGTTCATTTAAAATCAGCTTTTGGATATACCTCAAAAAATGGAAGCAGGGGTGGAAATTAACTGAGTCATCTGTCATTTCCCTTGGCCCTCCAGAAATACCAAAAATTGATCCGAATTCTACAGAATGTCTTCAGCTGTGAATACTCACACCTGCACTTGCCCTGATCACCTCATTTTAAATTTGATAGTATTGTTCAATTCATCTTTTAACTAAATCAGGGATGAGAATCAAGAGTAGCTCCCCATGAAGTCTACCCACTGTTTGTGTGGGGTGCTATGATACTGAACTGACTTGAGTCTTCTCTTGGGTTTACTGAGTGACAGATGGGCTTGTGTGGGTAAGCTATTCTCTGAAGATTTACTTTTCCCTTGACATGTATTGCATATCAACTCATATCCTATAAAATTAATTGCACTGTTTTATGTGTTTGTATTTTATCTTTGATTAGATGTTTGCCAAACTACTGTGAACATGGAGGAACGTGTACTCAGTCTTGGGCCACCTTTTACTGTAACTGCAGTGACACAGGTTATACTGGAGCCACATGCCATAACTGTAAGTAGGCCTGAAAGATATTCAGAACAGGCTTTTGTGAATTTTAACAGGAGGGCATGATGGAAGAAATCTTGAATCATAGTTTCAATCACAGATAGTGCATTAAGTGCCTACTGTGTGCCCAGAACTACTACTGTAGCAAAAGGGGATAAGAATATATTTTTTCAGTATAAATGTATTCTTTGCCCTCTAATAACCCACACTAAAATTGGGGAGACAAAATTATTGTGTACAAACAACTAAGAGTTTAATTAAGTGCTAAATTATATGGTATTGTATTAGCTTTTAGTATAATGGAAGTTCAAAGAAGAGATTAGTCAGAAAGAATGAATCAGCATTCATTAATTAAGCACCTGCTATCAGGCACTGGAGTAGATTAAGATTATAAATACAAATACCAAGAGTTGAGATTTATGTTATATGCTAAAAGCTATGTATGAGTTGTACAGTTGCTGGAGAGAAAAGATATAGAAGTGAATGCGGTGTCCTGTATCCTCAACCACCAACATTCTTTGAATAACTTTCAGGGGTTGTTCTAGGTGCCAGTGGGAAATGGAAAGAAAATAGAAGGTTTCTCTGCTTTAGTTTGAGGCTAGTCATAATAAAGTAGAATAATCATTCCTTTTCTTTTGGGGAACAGTATAAAATATCCCACTAACACTTAGAGGACTTGACACTACCCTAGTGTGTTGCTTTCAATACTATGTAGCCTATAAAGAATTGCAACACATACATGATGAAAAATGACCTAATAGTAAATGTGAGATACTTCAGAAAACTCATATTCAGCATTACCTCATTAATATAAGCAGCCAACACATTGTCAGCTAAATCTTATGGAATCATAGAATATCAGCTCTGGAGTATACCTTGGAGTCCAAACCCTTCATTTAATGGAAATCCCTTGCCACTTACTTATTTCTTGGATTATATTTACTTCCTCTCTCATGTCCTCAGAGCTGTATCCATAAGGCATATAGACACACTGCTTACCTGTTTTGAACCTGGTTATTTCTATAGTGTCAGAGATGAAAGATGTGCTTTCTTCTTAGAGCTTTTGCCATTCTCCATAGCAATGAGAGAAATGATATTAGCTTAAAAAAAATTAGCTCCTTTTCAAGACAGTTTTTTACTTGGTAGTGTAGTGACATGAACATACCTGGGTCCTTATAGAAGCTCTGTCTCTAACTTGCTTTGTGACCTTGGACGATCCACTTTCCTCCTCTATAAAATTAAGGAGCTGAACTATATGTTCTCTGAAGTTTTTCTGTTCTAACATTCCATAATTATTTCTTAGGCCCAGAGAGAGCCTGAAAAAGCTGAACTAGGAATCAGGCAAACTCTCAGAAATGGTAGCAAAAAATTACCAAGACTAAGGTGATTTTATTTAGAACAGTTCCAGGGAATTGATTAACATACATACCCAAAGTGCAAATACTACTTTTCCTTTTACAATGGGGAAGTGGAACCTTATATACAGGGGATGGCCAAATGCTGAAGCTCACAGTTTACTAAATTTCAGAAATCCTCATCCCTTCAAATCTGTTACATTTGCTTTCCTAGAAATAATCCAGCTCTTTTGTCCAGAGTCTTGTGACTGACAATGCTTGATTCCTTGCATTTTAATCCATCTATCAGGCTAAAAATGGAGGGTTTTTTCCCCCTAAACTTAACAACAGTCATCCCCACCCAAGGTTGTAAAGTTGAGAATTAATTGGTATGAGGTACTGGTTTTTAAAAGGACAATATCAAGGCTGATGAGATGAAAAGGTAAATACAGTACCTTAAATTTTTTTTTTGAAGCTCTCCTTGTGCTTCTGGGAAATCTATCAGTGCCTAAGAATGTGGGCTGTAACAATACTAAAAATCCAATAATTCACCTGAACTAGAGACAAATTTGAGGTATTGTGTTGCTTTGAGGCTTTGCATAACTGCCAGGGGCTCTCTTTCCAGTCATAGATATTCCCTGATTTTTCCTTTTCAGCTCCACTCATCTTATTTTTCTTAAATCATTGTTTTAAGGTGCCGTGTAAAGTATCTTATTAAAGGCGACAGGTTAGCAGGTTCTCTGAGGCATAATCACTTAAGCAATATGTGTCGCTACTGTGTTCCCATTCCTGTGTCGCGTACTGGGTGGGATATAGAAGTCAGGTATAAGCACGGTCTCTGGCCTCCAGAGTAGTTAGGAAAGCTTCATGGAAGAGGTTAAACTCAAGTTAGCCATAGGAGATGGGTAGCGTTTAGATAGAGGGAAAGAAATAAGGGACTTTATTCCATGGTATGAGCTGAATCAGTCTTCTGAATCATATATCATACCTAGAAAGAATTGTAATCATTTAGCCCAGGCCTCTTGTTTTATAGATGAGGAAACTGAGGCTCAGAGAGGCTCAGTAACTTGCTTTGTCCAAGTAGCAGGTCTGAGATTTGAAACCAAGTCCTCTATGGTAGCGTGATACAGTGGAATACGTGCTGGGTTTTTGTGTCAGATGATCTGGTTCTGAATCCGCATCTCTGCCACTAGCCGATTTATGACCTTGGGCAAGACATTTCACTTCCATGGGTCTCAGTTTCCTTCAATACGAAATGTAGGCATTGAATTAGATGGCCTCTGAGATCTATTCTTACTCTTTGATCCCATGTTCACATTCTGCTCTTTCCCCCCACACTATGCTACAGCTGCTAATGAAGGTGATATTCACACAAACTCAGCAAGCCTTTATGCCAGGTGTGTGGCATTAGGTTTGTTTTTCTGGCCTTATACAGAACCAAAATGATGTGAGGCAGCATGAAGAGTCTGGTTAAAAGTTATTTTAGAAGCTTTGAAATTTGGGGTGCTGCCTAAGATCTTTAGGAAACAGTTTTGATTATGGCATATTCAATGTGACCTTCAAAATGTTTTTGATGAAGAAAATAAGAATTAATTAGATGATATACTCCAGAACAATGACTCTTCCTTTTGAATATTCTCCATCAGTCAATAGCTATTTATGACATACCTGCTCTTTGCTTAGCACAATACAGGACACCTAATATTTGATGAATGCTTAAGCACCAAACTGACCCAATTTGGCAGAGTAAATATGTGTTAATGAATGATTCATTATCATTTTTATATTTCTCTAAACGTGTGTGAAGTTCTTTGACCTCAATTTCATTCCCTTTTAGGATGATCAAGCTGCCCTTTTCCCAGATGTCTTCACCTTGTTGTCTGGCTGTGTTAATCTCCTTTCATAGTCTAGCTCTTTTGACATGTTAACAGCCTCTAGCTCACTTTTCAGTAGGGAAAGAGGATGTCAGCTTTCATCCTTTCCTTCCATCATACACAGCCAGATATAGAGCTTCTTCTGTCAGGCAGTCAATAGCTGGCTATTGATTGGAAGCCCTATCAGTTGTCTGGCTATGAAACACTATAGTAACTGTCACACTAGCGATCACAGTATAGCACAGTGCATGTGTGCTGTCGTAACAGTGCTGCCTTTGGTGTAGGCAGAAATACTTTCACCTGGAAAGAGGGTTACTAGCTAATGAGATGTTGGAGAGGTTTAGGGGGCTTCTGGTAGCCAGTAGACTTTTTGAAAGCTTTGTTCATGCTGCTTAGCTCAGGCAAGTTAATACCCTGATGTTATGAGGTTTTCATCCTTGTGGATACCATGGCTGGTTTTTCTTTTCAACTGAAGGGGACTTAGAAATCTCTTTAGTCCCAACTTTTAACAACAGAGCTTCTCAATTTGCTCAACATCCACTGGCCCATATAAAGTAACTGAAAGGAGAGCAAGGAGAGAGAAAAAGAAAGGGAAAAGAGAATACAAGTGAATAAATGGATGACAAAGAAAGAGAGAGGGGAAATAAAATATTCTTAATTGGTGGAATACAATATTGAATGAAAAATGTATTAGTTGCTTATACTTAGACCCATGGTTTGCCTAATTCCATTCTCTCTAATCCATCCTCCATGCAGTTGCCTAAATAATCTTCCTTAAGCAAGGTCTGAGCATTTCTATCCTATGCTTCAGAAGATATTGTGGCTTCTTTAGCATTAAGGACAATATGCAAAATCTTTCATTATTTGAAGTCCAATACAATTTGATGCCAGTTTACCTTTTTTTTTTTTTAGGCAATTGGGGTTAAGTGACTTGACACTAGTAAGTGTCAAGTGTTTAGTCTGAGGCTGGATTTGAACTCAGGTCCTCCTGAATTCAGGGCCAGTGCCCTGTCCCCTGCGCCACCTAGCTGCCCCTGACAGTTTACCTTTTCAGACGTATCAAAGTATTCCTCCCTCATTTAATCTACATTTTGTATGAACTGGTTTTCTCCTTTCCTACATGTGATAGTCTACTTCCTACCTACATACTTTTGCTTAGGCTATCCTCTATGCCAGCAGTAGTATCCTGCCTTGCCTCAACCTCTTAAAATGACTGATCCTGTCAGTGTTTAATTTTCCCATTACAAAATTACTTTGTATTTATTTTGCAAGTATTTTGTACATATCGCTCTATGTAAATATAGTATTCCCAGAGTAGAATACAAGTTCCTTAGGATCCAGGACCATTTTGTTTCTGTTTTTGTTTTCCTAGGGCCTACTTCAATGCTTCATGCATGAAGGTCCTTAACACAATTTTTTTTGAATTGAGCTGAGTTGAGTGATTAACTATTAAGTGAGCTAGATTTTTGAAGTCAATCAGTGAACAAGTATTTATTGCATAGAGATTATACACTCAGAACTATATGAGGTTCTATGATAGTTGAAAAAAAGCTCTTTGCCCTTCAGGAGCTCATAATGTGATTCAAGAGAAAACAGTACAAGCCAACATGTACTCATCTACTGACTGACCTGTCTGATGTAGAGTATAAATGGTTTTGTCACTAAGGGAAGAAAGCAAATTGTGTGGGTTAGAGAAGTCAAGCAAGCCCTCATGAAAAAGGTAAGCTAGGAGCATGGCCTTGGAGGATGGTTAAGATTTCACTGTGACATAATTGGCAGGGGTAGGACATTTAATATG